TTGATCACCTGTTCCATCTTTCTCCAAGGATTCCCCGCCTCCTCCCCGCATCCCCCTGACCCCTCATGGCATTTGCATGGGCCCCACGTCCACGCTGAGCCCTGCACAACATCTCACCTTGGTCACTCTGCAGATGTCTTGGTCCTCCTGATAAGGGCGCACGAGCCAGAGGAGCTGCTCCCAGACTTGCTCTCGGTGCAGCTCCTCTTGCAGGAGGACAGCCATCATGGCAGTCACAGCCCCGAAGACAGCCTGTTTATCCTGGAGAGGGATGGCAGAGGCCCAGCATCAAAGACTGAAGGTCTGCCCTTCCTACAGAGAGGGCTTTCTCTTTTCCTTCCCCTTCCCCATACCCCCTTGCCCAGCAGCAGATGAGATCGCTCTGGACAGCAGGGAGATTTTGCCCACACCCTCATCCCCAGCACTCCCTGCCACAATGCTGTGATATACAGCTGCTTCCTGGCAAGGAGATCCAGCCCCGAGCACAGTTTGGGGCCCTTTGCAGAGCCAGCCCACTCCCTCTCATCACCCCTCTGCTCTCAGCCCACTGGGCACAGACAGAGCTGCTGACATGGATGTCCCCGCTGCCATCCTGGGCTGGGAATGCAGCAGTGCTCACCTTTTCCTCCTTGCAGTCCTGCCAGTTTGTCAGCACGGAGAAGAAGAGCCGGTACAGATTCCCGTAGATTTGCTCTTTCTCCGTGGCAGGCCGGGGGCATTGCTTTCCTGAGCAGAAGTGAACCTGGACTCCTTCTGACCATTGTTTCACAACTGAGAAAACAAAACGAAACAAAAAAAAAGAATAATTAATTTTAAAAGAAAAAACAAACCAAACCAAACCAGCAAGAGAAAAGGGAGCCTGTGAGAGTCTTCAGGGCAGGTGCAAGGGCTGTCCTGAGACCCCCTGCTCTGGAGCCAGCACTCACCAGCACAAGCGAGGCGCAGGGTCTGGCCGCTCCTCACCTGGCCCACCACACTGCGCAGGCCAGCCAGCATCAGCCACATGAAGGGGATGAACTGTGGAGCTGCAGAGGAGAAGGAGAGGGCCACAGTCAGAGCCCTGGCAGCAACAGAGGAGGGGGGGAAGCCCTGCATCCCCCAGCTCAATGCAGATCATGCGCAGCGGGGAAAGACCCGTTTCCCCGGTTGTCATAGATGTAGGGTGGTTGAGAGTACTCTACCGTAGATGCTGAACAGTTTGCTGAGGGTGATGAGCACAAAATCCCTGGATATATCCCCGATGGCCTTCAGATGGCCCTGGAGCTCAGCCATCACCCAGCTGAAGTGTGTCCGGGCCAGAGCCACCAGGATGTTGCTGGCAGCCATCCTCACGTTGTCAGTGACACC